AGGTACACGGTTCGAATCCACTGATGCCCTGCTGGAGGAGGAGAAACAATCTCCTGTACCAGTTAGATCTGATTTGACAGTACACACTCAAAAATAATAAATCACACAGGCGTAGTTTGCCCATCTTTCTTTCATGTAGTGGGTGGTGGATTTGAACATTGCTCTTGGGTTGGCAGTGAAACTCCCTACCTCCTAGGTCACCAAAGTGCCCTTGATTCCACATCATCCTTATAAACTAAATTCATTCCTCGCCTTCGGTTTTCTACCACTTTCCTTCCCATCTTTGCTTACCTCATTTAGAAACCTCCATCTCAGAACCAGAATGTTAGATGGTCCCATCTTTTCTATTCTTCAATTTTTTATCTTCACTGTGCAAAGTCTGTCTTCTGTTCTGCCTGATAATGGAGTGATGTGAATGAAGCCTCTTTCTTTCCTGAGATGCTGATGATGTTACAACTAGTCCCGCTAGTGCTAATAATGGACCTTCAAGATTAAGGAGAATCTGAGAAATCATTAAGAGATTAATTAGTCCATCACCTCACTTTGGTTTCTGCTGACTTAACAGAAGGACTAATATATTCAGTCACCAGTGTTGTTATGTGCTGTTGAGTCGCCTGCGACTTATAGAGACCCTTTGTACAACAGCTCTGAAGCCTGCCCTGTCCTGAGCCTGTCTCACTGACTCCATATCAACCTTCATTGCCCTGGTTAGTGTTATCAATCTATCTCATCAAGGGTCTTCCTCTCTTGTGATGCTCCTCAACTCTTCCGAGCATAATGCCCTTTTCCAAGGACCAGTCCCTTCTGGCCATGTGACCAAAGTATAAGAGATAGAGCTCCAAAGTCCTAGATGCCAAGGAGAAACTTGGTTTCGCTCTCTCTAGGACAGACCTGTTTGTTTTCTTTGCGATCCATGGTATATTCAAGACTCTTATTCAGCACCACAACTCAAAGGCATTAATTCTTCTTCTATCATTCTTAGTCATTGTGCAGCTCTCTGATGCATAGCAAGTAATTGCAAAGACCATGGCCTGGTCAGGTATACCTGAGTCTCTAGACTGACACTGTCGCTTCTCAGTATTCTGGAGAGGTCCTTGACAGGGAATTTTACCAGTGCAATTTGTCTTTTTATTTCCTGTGTGCTGGTGCCAAGAGTGTTGATTGTGGAGCTGACCAAACTGTAAATGTTAACAACTTCAGTCTCTTTTCCACCCATCATGGTGCTGTGAATTGGCCCAGTGGTGAATATTTTTTGTTTTCTTGATGTTGAGCTCAATCCATATTAAAGATACAGGAAAGATTGGAAAGGTACGGAGTCAGGACGCATCCCTAACACACTCCTTTCCTGATTTTGAACCATGCAGTGTTGCCTTGCTCCCTTCTGAGGACTGCTTCCTGGTCTGAATATAGGTTTCACATGAGCTCAGTCAACTGTTCTGAGATTCCCATTTTCCTCAGTTAGCCACAATTTGTTGTGATCCACACAGTCAAATGCCTTTGCGTAGTCAATGCAATACAAAGAGACATTCTTTTGGTAGTCTTTGATTTTTGCCAAGATCCATCTGGCATTGGTGATAATGTCTCTAGTGCCACGGCCTCTTTTAAACCCAGCTTGTAGTTTTGGTAGTTCTCTGTCAGTGGTAACCAATACATTAGTTAATTAAACTAATCCCTCCTTATCTCCTGGAGAGATCACCCAAAGTTAACAAATTTGTATCTGTGGCCCACTGAAGCCACTGTGTTCATTATAGAAACCATTGGGACACATGACAAGAGATGTAAAATCTATTCACAGCCATGTCTTTGTGTTGACTTTTGGAAGGAGAAACCAATTTCCAAGAAAAGCAATTAAAATCCGCCTACTTTTGTTAAGGTCAACTTAAATGATTATTTATCCTTCCAGCCTATTATAAAGAAGGACTGAAATTACCAAGTTCTTAAAAATCAAGACAGAAGCTGATACTTTAGGGATCTATAGAAATTTTAATGTAAATTGTTCATTTTTCATTAGTGGGTATACAGAGGCGAATTTAATAACCTGGAAACTATTCATAATATACCGTGAATACCAAAGTGGTTGTTTGTAAGACTGGAGGCTTTAGTGGAGTAAAGATAGCCAGTTTATTATGCTTTTTAATCAGTGTAATTAAGGAAGAAGGCAGAGAGTGCACAGATGTGAGCATGCGCATGAGAGAGAATAGCGATTGCACAGATATGAGCATGCGCATGAGAGAGAGAGAGAGAGAGAGAGAGAGAGAGAGACTGAGACTATAGAGCTTGCACAGATGTGAGCATGCGCATGAGAGTTGAGGTGGTGTTGACCATAGCGAGGTGCGCTGCTTACCTAAAGACCACATTGCTCCGGCGGTTCGAATCCACCAACCGCTCTATGGGAGAAAGCTATGCAACCTCTTCCCATTAATGTTTACAGAATTAGAAATCTGACGGAGGGTCAGCTCTGAATCAAGGCGGACTTGGCAGCAAGGAAAGAGGAGGATGCAGAGAAAATGCTGGTCATTTGACTGTGGTTGAGAAAGAGAATCCTGCATCAGGTCTTGGGTACCCATAATCTCTACCACTTGAAACCTGATGTGGTGATTAAGAAGATGTCATTGTTCATGCCTTATGTTTTGAACTCACGTGTTCATTGAACATCTATTTAGTGTCAGGCAGCAAGCTCTGGTGTCACAGTCCCTAGGAACCTGGGCTGCCCGCTCAAAGGAGCCACCTCTCTGGTGCCTCCCAATCCACCAGCTGCTTCAGTGTAAAAAGAGGACTGTCTCCTTCCATGCAGTTTACAGCCTCTGAAACCCAGTGCAGGGCCAGCTTGAAGTTGATTCTGATTCCCTAGCATGGAATATGAGTGAGTAGGACAATACAGCAAAAAGAAGGTCAAGGTCTGTAGTCTTCAATATGGATTGAAGCTCAACATCAAGAAAGCAAAGATTCTCACCAGTGGGCCAATTAGCAATTCCATTATGGAAGGAGAAGAGATTATAGATAGCTGCAGCTTGCTTGGTTCCGCAATCAACACTCTTGGCACCAGCAGTCAGGAAATCAGAAGATGAATTGTTTTGGGAAAGTCTGACGTGAGGAACCTCACTAGAGTACTGAAGAGAAGCAGTGTTCAGTCTGGAGACTAAGGGGTGCCTGATCCAGGCATGGTCTTTGCAATTGCTTGCTATGCATCCAAGAGCTGGACAATATCTCAGGATGATAAGAAAAGGATCGATGCCTTTGAATTGTGGTTCTGGAGAAGATTGTTGGACATATCATGGACTGCTAGAAGAACAATCAGGTTTGTACTAAAGAGGGTGAAACCAGGTTGCTCCCTGGAGGCAAGGATTTTGAGGCTCCGTCTCACATACTTTTTTCAGGTGACCTGGAGGGACCAGTCCTTGGAGAGGGACAGTGCAGAAGAGGAAGACTCAGGATGAGATGAATTGTCTCAGTGACTGGAGAAATGGGATTAGGTCTTTCAGAGACAATACGACTGGCACAGGATAGAGCAGATTTCAGAGCTAAGATATCTAGGGTCTCTATGAGGTGCAGGCGACTCAATGGCACATAACAACAACAACAAGAAGATCTTACAAGCCTATGCCAGATATTCTGCTAAGTAATAGAAATGCAAAGTAAACAGTGTGATCTTTAACCTCAAAATTGTCACCTTATAGTGGGAGAGATAAACAAATATTCTAAAAGATATATAATGTACTATAGGAAGCATTGTAATAAAGATATGGATGTAGTAATAGTGGGTCAGTTACTGACCGTGAATCCTGAATGACTGTAGAGCTGATACTATCTTGAATTGAGGGAGTCATGATCAGTTAAGGAGTTGTGCAGGGGGAAGGGGGGATTGAACATTGGGTTGTACGTACATATGATGGGTGAGGAGGTGAGGGAAATGGAAAGAATTCATTCAAATTTTTTGGTTTTTTTGTTTGTTTTCTAATAAAAAAATTGTATTTACTTAGAAGCATTCAGAGAATTTGTTCAAATTTGTATTTCAGTTTTTTAAATAAACTAGTAAAAAGATAAAACAAAGAAAAATAAAACAAAAAAGAAAAAGAAGGTGGTGTTCAGCACTGTGAGAAGAGAAGGCCTGGAGGGTCTGTGAACATATAGCAGGTGCTGCTAATCCTGCGTGATGGAAACAGAAGGATCACGGAGGTTGAAGCAACTAGCTCTGTCTTGGGGAAGAGAGGGTGCCAGGCAAAGCTTCCCAGAGATGCTGTATTTGTCCTGTGTCTCTTACTGAACTCAGAGGCAAAGAAGTACCTGTTTATATATGGTTGTAATAGAGGGAAATACGGGCTAATATATGGTGAGGGGAGGAAGCAAGCCCTTGGAATGGCTCATCTCCAGAAGCAGCAGTTTTTCTGAAAAGCTTCAGGCACTGATCCACAAAGGGTCAGGCTTTCCTGCAGCCATTGGATGAATAGTTGAAAAGTGCTACATCTCACATACTCAATACTTGTTCCTAAAAGCCCTTAAAAATGGCATCAGGAGGGAAAAAGATCCCAACATCCATTCTGAACAAATAGGAAATTGCTTTTTTTTTTTTTTAAGATTTGCTTTGAAAGACGTACACGTACCCCCTCCAATGGGGTACACCCCACAATACTCAATTTATCTGTGTCAGAAACTCTAAGGGCTGAATTGATTGTGCTGTAAATTGAACCTCAGGTTCCATTCTGAGTGCTTGAAACGTGACACTCCATCCGCCAAGCCCTCCTACTTGGGCTGTTTTTTTCCCGATTCTCAGACACTGAAATACTTGTGCAGCTCTAGTGCTGTCTCTGCCTGGGCCAGGAAATGCAGTGTTGATCAAATTTCATAATAATATGAGGGAGATGTTGAAGATTAATGCCTTTTGATAATCCAGACTGCCAGAGAGCAAGACACAGAGGAGAATTTAATAACCTGAAAAATGGTTGCAAGGAAACATGGGTTTTTTTTCAGCTGTCTTCTCCATGTGCTTATTTCCAAACCAGGGTGAGTTTTGATGAGGGCCACTCCTGGGACAAGTATGGTTTCACTTCGCTCCCTCTCTTCGTCGACGGGGCTCTGGTGGAGGCAGGAGTGGAGACCCAAATTATGACGTAAGTACTTTGATTTGTTGTGGTAGAGAGCTGCCCAGAATGAGTCTCCTTCCTGCAATGACATTTATTTTTCCATATAGCCCTATACAAGGGTATTCTGATCTGTGGACTAAAGTTTCCTCATTTATAAAGTGGGAATATTTATATTCTTCCAATTGGTGCATCAGAAGGCGTGCACCCACCAGCTCAAAGGGCTACTGATATGAGGCTAGGTAGAAAAAAAATTGAGATTTCCAGTGGAAAGTAAAGTAAAATAACACATTCTCACTTAATCCAAACCTTAGGAAAACAAAAACTCTCCATATTTCTTATGTTTAAAACTGGATGTAAGTTTCCAGAGCAAATTTGTTTTCCATTCAGCAATGCATGTGTACTGTTTTGTGACATTGATTACAATCTCCATGTGGTAACACTCCCCGCTTCCTACACGTGTTTCTCAGTTCTGCTTCCTGTTTCTCAGTCCTCTAATTGCCTTCTCTCTTTCCAAAACTGTCCAGTAAGTGGGAAAGGGTCTGGATGAATTAAGTCAGTAAACAGTCACTGTTTGAGATCGAGCAGTATGTTTATGGGAAAGTCTTAGGATATGACTGACCCACACTCACAGCCTATAGTTGTTCAGTTCAGATTAAGTTGTTTGGAAATTCTGTCTTTGGTCCTTTATAATGAGAACACATGCTCAAGAGGTAGATCTTAAAGCTATATCCAGGTTGAACTTCTGGAAGTTCCCTGCCTATGTACTACTGTTCTAGCCAAGTTTTAACGATCTTCAGGAGTATTTTACTTGCATATGTTATTAATGATATTTTATAATTTTTATAATTTCCACATTCTGTGGGTTTACCTTTCTCAGACATGTGATCAAATAGAGATCTCTTCCAGTCAGTCAGTCAGACAGACAACTCTCTTCCAAATTCCTGGCATAAACTGTGAACACGTCTAGGGCTCTATTAGTTGAAAAATGTCAACTGGTATATAGTATCTGAATATAAGACAAAAATAATAATTAGATCAGAGAGCGGGACAATGACTAATGATGCTAGAAGAATTGATGCCTTTGAGTTGTGGTGTTGGAGGAGAGCACTGAATATACCATGGACTGCTAAGAGAACAAACAGGTCCATCCTGGAGAGGGTGAAATCAACCTGTTCCTTTGAGGCAAGGATTTTGAAACTCTGTCTCACATACTTTGGGCACATGGCTGGGAGGGGTCAGTCCTTGAAGAGGGACATCATACTTGGAAGGGTAGACGGACAGCACGAGAGAGGAAGACTCAGGATGAGATGGATTGACTCAGTGACTGGGGTAATGAGTGTATCTGAGGCAATGAAATTGGCCCAGGATAGTGCAGGATTGAGAGCTGTTGTATGTACAAAGGGTTGCTTTGAGTCACAGGTGACTTGTCAGTCCATAACAACAACTTTCTAAAAGTGTTGTTATGTATCATCTAATTGGAACCAACCCATAGCCAGCAGGTTTTAGAGGCAGTTAATCACACAAGAGATACTACTTTCTAAAAGTGTATCACATTATAGTTGCTTACATGTTGATCACCTCTATGTGCAGGCAGTGTAGTAGGACCTTTGGGAAGGTACACCAGACAATACTAGCTGACTTTTCCCAACTCAGATTGGCTTGGTGGACTTATGTCTAATGCTTCGTTAGACAGAAGGGAGTCTACGGAGCAGAAATGGGAGTATTTTATATTTTCTGGAGTTGGAGACAATAGGTTCTCTGGATGTTTCTGCTATGGCTTGGAAGAAAGGTGTCTTCTTAATACAGCACTGAGAGAGAGAGGGAGGGGGAGAGAGAGAGAGAGTGTGTGTGTGTGTGTGTGTGTGTGTGTGTGTGTGTGTAGTGTCTTCATGCACACAAACAACACACACATGCATATGATTTTTGAGTTTTTTTTGTTTTTTTACAGTTTTCAACAGTCATTCCAAACCCAAGACTTGCTTACTTTAAGGAAAGAGCATATTCCTAGTTTCTTTGCTTTATGTTTTTTCCCAGGGATTAACTAAAAAATCCTTTTCCACCTCCCTGACCTTGTACTGTACGTTTGTCCCTCTACGTCATTCTCCTATTCAGAGGGTTACCCGACCACTGGGATGGTGGGAAGAAGGTAGATGTGCCATGTGACACAGAATACCCTCCCAAGAGAGTCAAAATTGTCTTATGAATTCCAGAAAAACGTAATATTCAAATGCACCTTCTTGGGTTTTTTCTGTGGATCTTTAATCCTGGGCTGATTTTTCCCTGGTTGGTTCCATTCTTCCCCTAATCACTGAGTACAAAAAATTAAACACTTCCTCTTTTCTAGGACTTCCTCTGGTATGGCCATCAATGAGTTTAAGAGTTAGGGTTAGAGGGTACACATTCTAGAAAGTTCTGAACGAATTTATGCCAGGTGTGGTCCCTCATTACCTCTAAATCAACCAACTTTTTCTTGTTGTGGGTTTTGGGTTTTGTTTTGTTGGTCTTTTTTTATCAGAGATACTTAGTGTCTCTCCTCTATTTTTTCTTCTACTTGTCTCATGGCCTGATTTATCTCACATTCTCTTGTCTGAAGCCTGTTTGAGCTCGCTTCCTGCTTCTCCTGGGCATTACTCTGAACACAACCACGTGTACTCTAATCTCTACATGTCTTGGTATTCCCTGACAAGTTTAAAGCCACAGTTTAAATTCTCATTTCATCGAATGTAAATGGTAATCATCTTTTTTCAACTTAACATAGCATTTAGCGGGTCACATGTGTATAAGGGAGGTTGACCAGAGAGCCAAATCATTTCCTGAGGGGAATGAAATTTCACTTCTAGTTTCTGTTCCACTAAGATGTGACTAAACTTGGTGGAACTTCTGTGCTGCTTCTGACTTAAGTATCAGGATGTGTTAAATGCTGACGAGTAAAAAGAAACTAGAATGATGAGTAATTGGTTTCTTAGAAGAGATCTGAAACATCTATGAATTTAAGGTGAGCCCTGGAAGACTTTGTCCAACCAAATACAAGTCATTTGGGCTACTTGTTTTTTAATTAAATTTAGAGTGTTTTTAAATGATGCACACTTTGTGGGGTTCCTCCAATAATCTGAAAGGGCTAGCAGGTGCTGATACCTGTAGCCAATCTTAGATTTGGAAAGAGCTCTATAGACAAGTGACTCACTAGGATTATACTGGGGTCTGCCCTTAGAGATTAGCAGAGACAGAGAATGAAGTAAAAGTCCAAAAATTGCTCTTTTTTAGGACCTGTGAGGAGTTAGAGTGAATTCTTTTGAGGAAGAATACTTAACTTTTCTATTGAACTGAAAACTCATCAGTGAAGTGGGTCATTCTAATTCTGTAGTCTTCTCTTTAAAGTGAACCCATTCTCTCCCTTTATCTCAACTCTGGTGAGGGAGAAAGAAAGACCAACTTATTCACACTCTGCTTTAATTTCCTTATCTTAGCACCTTTATTTGGAAAATTGAAATATGTGTTAAAATTTCTCATTTGTTCAGACATCTAATGAGCTTTCATTGTGGATCAGCTCCTGCTAGTCCGTAAGGAAGATTGTGAAGATAAAGGCAGTTCTTTCTACCTTCAAGGATCTCTCAGGCCACTGTTGGGAGGAGGTAGCGTGGCAGCAGTCTCCGCTCATGAGCCCTGGTACGTAACCAGGGGATCAGCAGAGGGAGTGAAGACTTCACACACACTAAAGGCGACAGTTGAGTTTATCTGGAAGTTTCAATAGCAAGTCACCAGTGGAAAACCAAATTGCAGGCATTGACACAGAAGCTGCAAGAAAGTAGAAGAGTTTGAAGTTTTACTACCATAACCTCTGTGGCTGGAAGATGGTTGATGTATAATAGGAAGTCAGTAATTATTTCTTGAATACAGTGTTTTAGAGCAAAAGTGTGAACTCAAAATAAGAAACATTGGAAACTGGTCTGCGTATTAAGGGTGTAAGTCTGTGGAGGGGTTTGGGCCCTTTTTAAGGCTGTAACATGGATCAAAGTCATGCTTTTGAAATTGCAAATCTCAGGTTCCTCATTACCGCATTGTCTCAAAACCCCGTCACAGGCTTTCCATTGCTTTTAGGATAAAGTTCAGGCTCACTGACTGGTCTTTAAGCATCTTTTGACCTTTCTCTGGGACCTCATCTTTGGCCCCATACTGTGATGGCTCTCCAGCTTTCTCTGATTAACCTGATGTTTTCTTGTTCCAGTCTGTTTGTATGTGCCTGGATTATCTTCCCACTGCATCAGCCAAAGCTCTGTGTAACTCCCAGGTCCAAGTTTATAGGCAGCATCCAATATTACAGTCTACTGAGAGAAAGTATGTGTGTGTTTGTGTAGCTGTGATGGCCTGGAGGGTAGGGAGATGTGTTGTCAACTCCAAAGCATATGGTTCAAATCCACCAGCAGCAAATTGAGAGAAAGTTGGACAAATCTGTTCCTGTATGATTCATATTGTTGTTGTTGTTATGTGCCGTCGAGTCGCTTGTGACTCATAGTGACCCTATGTACAGTAGCCCTAAACTCTGCTCTGTCCTGTACCAGTCACACTGTCTCTGACACTCCCATCCCGATTGCCCCAGTCACTGAATCAATCCACCTCATAGAGGGCCTTCCCCTCCTGTGCTGTCCCTCCACCCTCCCAAGCATGATGTCTCCGAGGACCGGTCTCCAAGGACCGGTCCCTCCTTACAACACGTCCAAAGTATGTTAGATGGAGCCTCAGAATCCTTGCCTCCAAGGAGCCGCCCAGTTTGACCCTTTCCAGCATGAATCTGTTTATTTTCCTAGCAGTCCATTGTATTCTCAATCCTTTTCTCCATCTTCTCTAAATCTGACCATTCAGATTAAGACAGACTAGGAAGAAGGATTGGCCATCCACTTCTGAAATAGCAGGCCTCCGAAACGCTATGTACCGAAAACCTAGTATGATTCATAGCATCTGAAAACCCCACTGGAGGGTCTGCTATGGGTTGATTCTGACTTGATGGTACAACACAAAAACATATATGG